TAAACTGATAACGCGAGCTCTGTATGATCTTACGGTATAGGAACTAATAGAATAAATACAATTGAATGTTAAAAAATACACATTTTTAGATGAAAGTGGAAACTTATTCGTCAAAGATGACAGCCTCCTCTGTGGTGAACAACGGCATCTTCTCCAAGCCGCCTCTGACGTACTCGTACACGGTGAAAGTGACGGCTTGACCTGGAGCAACTCTCATCACTCTTGGGGTGATACCCTTGTACAAAGCAGCGACACCTTCCTCTCTGATCAAATCCTTTGTGATTCTGAGGATTCTTTGAGCAGAAGACTGTTTCAACAATGGGTCGTTAGGGTCAGAGGACTTGGTCTCCTTTTGCAATCTGGTCTTGATGGTATCCAATGGAGCGTTAGAGAATGGACCAATGGCACCAGAGACGAGACCAATACAGGAAGTTTGCCAACTTGGGATTATACCGTTGTTACCGTTCTTTGTGTGGTAGTCCTCCAAGAACTCTTTAAGCTTGGAGTAGACAGTGAAGTTAGCACCTTGGTTGGTGGCTTGTCTAGCAGCAGTCAAGGAGACACCTCTGTACAAAGTACCGAAACCTTCCTCCTTGACGATAACGTAAACGGCGTGACCAGCGTTTCTGTACTTTGGAACACTCAATGGGTCGGACATGGAGTGGTGTTGAGCCTGCAATCTAATCTTGACAACCTCCATTGGGTTGACAACGGCACAGGCTTCGGTGATACCAGCACCGACACCAGCGATAAATGTAGAACCAGTGGAGATGTTACCATTTTCATCCTTCAACAAACCTCTGTAGAACTCGTAAGAAGAGAATCGTATAGCCATCTTTGGAATGATACCAATGACAACGGCTCCGAGACCCTTGTACAAACCAGTGATACCCTCCTTCTTAGCAATTTGAATACCAGTGGTGATGAAACCTGGGTTCTTCACTGCACCAGACTTTCTGTGCAACTGCATACGAACCTTGATGGTATCAAGTGGGTGACAACAGAGAGCCTCAAAGAGACCAGCGGTACCACCAGAAATGAGGTTGACTGCGGTGGAGGAGGATTTCTTCTTTTGAGACATGGCTAGTGTATTATCGAACTACCAAGAGTATTAAATCGGGAGTAAGAAGGCGAATTGAAACTAAACTCAAGGGGGAAAAGATCTGGCTTAAAAATGGGAAATATGTCCCCCTTTATATGGATTCAAGTGTTATAAAGTGAAAAAAATTACACTGTGCTCGAGGATGCAAAGTTTGGGGAAATGGACCCGTTTCGTTGGCCTCAGCCTGCTGTCTTCAGCTGTTGTCTCCCTGTTGGTCGTGTTCATTCTGCCCGGTGGTGTGGCGAAATTGTGTGGGGCGGACTCACGGCCAGTTTCTCCGGGCTGGCGGTGGGACGGTTTCCTCTGCCTGGGGCCCCCTGCCCCCCTGTGTAGGCCTGTGCAGTCGGCGTGTCCAACAGGGGAACCTCTGCCTAGCCGGTGGTGGTGCTAGGCAGAAGAAGGCAGGCCATCGCGGTCGTGACCACACCTTTCGGTTAGTTTTGCATGCTAAGCTCCCAGTTAGCCTAAAACCCATGGGCAGCTGTTCGGTTGAGCAAGTGATGGATCTGTTTGGAGGACCGGGCTATGCTTATCTACTGTCTAATCATTTAATTGCGACTAGTTTTGGAGGAACTGTGCTAGCACGTTATACTGTATCGACCACTGCTGTTATCTATTAGGCACTGGGCTAGAGTACACAGAGTTTACACCCGGGAATTCTCCCTCCCACACAAAATGCCAGTGCAACAAAAACATACACGTACAGCAAGTCAGTGTCTAAAGCCATATGTGAGAAAAAAACCCAGGAAAAAGGACAACCACGGTCCACCAATTGGGTAAAACCGTTGGACATTTCTTCCTTGATCGTACGTCACACGCGCTCTAAACAAGAGAAAAATTTTTATGGGAACCTGCTTCGAAAATCTGGGGTAAAAGGAGCAACAAAGGAGCCGGTCACGGGGTTCGCGATTTTGTTGTCCTGTTTCTTTCTTTCTTTGTTCGCAAGATTATGTAATTGTTACTGTAAACGGCAGTTGCCGTATTCAGACATTTCTGTATCTATATTACGTAATTGCTTATTCAGCAACACTGCTCCATACCGCACAACCCAAGACCAACGTTTAAAGTGACAGTTGAGGTACAAGCTACAAAGCCCTACAATGGCTCTCTATGATATTAAAACCTGTTCATGAATTCTTTTTGTACAAAACAACCCAACATCCCTGTTTAAGCCTCAGCCAACTCTCTCAAACGTCTGATGGTAGATCTGACGGTGGCAGCAGCAGCGGTGGAAACGGTGTAAGCACCACCAGCAATGGTCTTGTTACAGGAGTGACAGTTCCAGATACCGGTAGCGTTTCTCTTCACAGACTTCTTACCACAGAAGGAACAGTCGTAACGAGCGTGTTGTTGAATCTCCAATTTCTTGGTTTGACGACGCAAGGAGGAACCGTAACGGACACCAAATTTACCAGTGATACCAACTTTTTTAGTTCTCTTAGTCCTGTTTGAAAAGTTATCGTTAGTAAAGCTCTTCGAGCAATCGATAAAA